GTCGAAATTTTCCATGACCATTTTGCATAAATGTGGCTGAATTTCGTTGATGCAGCGTTGAATCTCCTCCTTTAATGCACGGGTGGTTGTGGGCTTGTTGACATAGACCTGTGATTTCAAATAACCCCATAAAAAGAAATCTAATGGTGTTAAATCACACGATCTAGGGGGCAATTTTGGCGATTAACAAAGCCATCAAGGTGAAAATGTGCTTCATCGCTTAGGATGATTTTGCTCGAAAAATCAGCATCCATTTGTTGATGTTCAATAATCCATTTTCACGCTCCATTTTCACTAACCCTGAACTGTCAGCTGTTAAATTGTTTTTTTTTTTGGGTTGCCAACACTTTACTGCACAAATGGCGGCAAATTCAAATCTTGCGTTAATTTTGGGACACCCTTTACTTTCCTCTAAATTTCTACTCTGAACCATGTATGCTTGAAAGACAAATGTTTAAGAGGAACATTGAAATGCTTATTTAAATAGAAATAGAAAGAGAGAGAGAGAGCAATAAAAAAGGAAGAAAAGAGACGGGGCAACTTACTTATTTCACGCATGCGCACTCCATTTTGGCCAACATAAAATCAGGAGAGTTGTGCTACTGTAGACAACACATTACGTTTTTCTATGTTCTCCCGGTTTTAAAGCTCATGGCACATACAAAAACGGCTGTAACACGTAAGCAGTAAGGAAATCAAAACATTGGATTCGCTACTGACCTTACGGTCTCTACCGTGATTGGGCAATTCGTTTACTGATTACGGCCTTACGTTTTTGTATGTGCCATGGGCTTTAAGCCGACAGTACATAAAAAAACGTAAGACAGTAAGACGTAATCAGTAAGGATATCGTAACATTGGATTCGCTACTGGCCTTACAGTCTCTATCGTGATTGGGCAATTCGCTTACTGATTACGTCTTACGGCCTTACGTTTTTGTATGTGCCATGGCTTTAGTTCATGATGCTTGATGCTCGACTTGACACTCTCATGCAATAGCACCTTCACAGTCATAACATTTTTTGACACTATGGTTTGGAGCAGAGAGAGACCTTATCCACAAATATATTATTATTATTATTGAATATTTTTGATATTGTTTTTTTCCAGTTTTATTTATTTGTATGTAATTGGTACATTCATCATGGCAACAGACGATTCTTGGAAAACGCCACATTTTCGTCAGAGTGTAGTCGCGAAAATGTAAGTTAATTATGTTGGTTAAGTTCATAAAGCAAAAACATTGTTTTATATCAATTGCTATTAAAGTTTAATTATCATTTAAAAAGTAATTTTTTCTAAGGTTATTAAATAAATTTACCTTTTACATGTATTGTTATTTACACATATATATATTTTTTACATGAAACACTTATATGTATAAGTCATTTCAATAGATTCATTTTAAATCAATTTGCTCTTTTCATTTTTCTTTTTTCTAATATTTATATTTATTTATTTATTTTTTTTATAAAATTTTGCTAAAATTGTTTTTTTATCGTGTCTCTATTTGATATATAATTGTAAACATTTTATTGATAATAGTGATGAAGCAATACAAGTATCTGGCATGCCTACGACAAAGAATAGCATTGAAATGGAGAATCATGTCTTTCAAAAAGCTAAATCTAAGGTATGTCTAGAATTATACTAAGAACATATTAATTCTATTCTTTACAGCTATGTTATGTTATACTTTTTGGATTTAAAGTAAAATATATATATTAATTGTTTTTTATTTTTATACAAGTGATATTGACAAGGAAAAGTTCCCAACTTGGAAATTTAAAAAATTATAAAACTGACAATACGTAGAGCATATCTTGACATATAATAAGCAACTTTTTTTGTTGCTCAATGAAGTATTTTAAAAAGAGTTCAATTTTTACTCAAAATGAGTGAAAGGAATAGCGTTTTTTATAGATTTTGATTTCCTGAATACAATAATGTTAATAAAAAGTTTGGAATTGATAAGGAATACTTTGAAAATTGAGTATGAACATAATACATTTAAGGAAATTTCAATATTCTTGTTTACTTTTCAAGGTGTTCCCCTATAAACTTTTTAATGATTTTATCATATTTAGAAGGTTAAAGTCTATTCTACAGTGCGCTTTTTGTTTCCTGTTTTTTGCTTTTTGCTATTTTTTTACATCTTTTTGCTTCTTATCCAGTTTTTTGTTTTATGTCGCCCGAGATAAAAGTTAACAAATTTCGAAAAAAATCAGAAATACATACCAAAAAATACAATTGTTGATAAAACGGTTGCAAAGGAGAAAAAAGCAAAATGTGAAAAACAAGAAACAGGAAACAAAGAGCACATTGTAGAATAGGTTAAAAATCTATAAAAACAGTTTCTTTTGCTTACATTCTTTTGAACAAAAGTCGGACTTTTTAAAATATTCTTTAAAAAAGGGCAGATTTTTGCCCAAAAAGATAGTAAAGTAAGTAAAAGAAATAGTGTTTTTTATAGATTTTGACTTGAATATAATAAAATTATTAAAAAGTTTGTGGCATTTGGAGAACATCTTGAAACGTAAACAAGAATATTGAAATTTCTTTAAATGTTTATGCTCAATTTTCAAGGATTCCGAACTTTTTATTAACATTATCGTATTCAAAAGGTCAAAATTTATAAAAAATGCTATTCCTTTTACTTACATTTTATGGGCAAAAATCTCTTTTTAACATCTTTCTTTATCCCAAAGGTATATAATTAATCCCTTAATATTGGTCCATTTTTATTTTATCTCAACAAAAGAAAACATGCGGAACAAAATTTCAGAGAAACAATTTATTTTTCGAAATAAGATTTATCGATTAGGAAACTTATTAATTGTTTAATTACATGAACAATTCAAATTATCGCAATACGTACGAAGAATAAATATATCATATTTTGTAATAAAATGCGGCAATAATAGTTTCCTTGAAGTGAGATCGTTCCGTTTTTTTTTATTTATTTTTTTATATATCAGAAGCACCTAATATGTATTATAAATTGTAAAGCTTCAGTTGTGAATATTAAGTGGAACACGTAAATGTATTATAAAAAAGCCACAAAAATATTAATATTGTGAATATATTGCTCCTGTTTTTTGTTTATGTATATTTTTTATTATTTTTTAGACAATGAATAAGTTTTTTAATCAGTAAATCTTCTTACTTATTAAAAAAAAAATTTTCTCTAAAGTTTTATTCTATCTCTTGTTGTTGAATAATAAAATAGAAACGATAAATGGGATGATCTTCAAAAGTTAATTTTACCTCTTTAGGGCTGTAGTCTGATTCACGCTCACAACGCTTAAAAATCAAATGTTAAACGAAGACAAATGATGCTCATGAGCGTTGTCAGCATGAATCCGATCATGGCCTTGGATAAATTCGAGCAATAAAAAAATTATTTATTACATGTCAGGACAATGTCTAAATCTTCTATGTGTTATAAATAAAAACAAATAAAGGGCGAAATAAGAGTCAGCGCATTAAATAGAACACATATAATAAAAGACATTAATCAGAGATACAAAAAAGTGAACAATGAAAACACGACGTATATTTATATATTAGGTTAAGTAAAAAGTCATCGCGTTTTTTTAAAAGACATCTATCAGTAAAAACCGCAATTACTTTCTTACCAACAATATAAATATATCTTAATAGAGTAAAGTTTCAGCTTTAAAAATCTCTTTTTTAAATTATACGATACGACAATTTTTAATGGAGTTATGAGCAATTAAAGTCAAAATAATTCTTTTATTTAATCCGCGATAACTCAGTAATCAAAAGTCGTAGGAATATTTAAAAAAACGATTTTGTAGGGAAAGTATCAAGCTTTCACGATAGGTAATCGAAAATTTTCTCAAATTCGTTTTGGACACGTTACAAATCCACAAAGTGAGAAGAAAATTTTTCGTCTTTTTCAACTCGTAGTTTTTGGTATGTAAAAATCATCGACTAATAAATTAATTTATAAATTAAATTAATATTTTCTTGCATCGTTTGAATTTAATATTATTGATAATAATTCAATTTATTTTTTATTTGATATAGATACTACGCACGTGTTATAAAATATTGACATAAGAGATGAAATTATTAATTCTTATGACCAGATCAATGATTTACAAATTTCTACAATGGTTTTCATACAATTCAGTTATAACTTTTTTTCCTTCCTACTTTGGCCCAATGTCTTGTAAACGCAACGGAGACTAGCAAGTTGCTTGATGGACATACAATGACATAAAATTTGAATTAGACACACTTATTGATATATCACATGGAAAAGAACACATTCATTACATTTGCGATTGGTTGTGGACGTTTTTGTACATCGATCGGTGGTTCTTCAGATTGAGCGTGTTTGTCTCTAAGCTCTTTCCAATGATTCAATTTATCTGTATATTCTGATATTTTCTCGTAATCCTCTAATTTATTATACACGTGTAAAAGTCCTCGATAATCGTATTCTAAATCACTATAACCTTCTCCAAATAACTTCAAGCCTGTCAATGCGAAATTTTTGAAGTGCAATGGCATTTCGTGTCAGAAAACTTAATTAAAATATATATACTTACTGATTGCGATACTACGACGGTAAAGCTTTTCGGCATCTCTGTATCGATTCATGTGAAAATTAGATAATGAAGCTAAATGCCCTATACTCAAGCCCACTTCGTAATTGTCAGGTCCTAATAATTCTTCTTTAATACCAATAGCTTTTAGGTGCATCATTTCCGCTTCCTAAAATATACGCATGCTAAAAAGAAACAAGAAAATAAAAAATATATACAGTGTGTAAATATATACAATAAATTACCTGAAATTTCCTCATACTCTGGTATAATCAACCCAGATTTCCGTAATGTTTTGCCGTTTGTACATTTCTTTCGCCGAATGCAGTTTTCGACATTTCTAAAGCAGATAAATGAAGACATTCGGACTTGAGTAAGAGATTTTGTTCCGATAATGGCGTGGATGCGTTATCTATAGCGATTTCTTCGAGAATAAGTGCCTTTATTCTTCTAGCGCTTGCGAGCATTAAATGATTCGGAGGTAAATGTCTTTCCATAATATCTATAGCTATTCCAGCGTGTTCACTGCAAAACAAAAGTAAATTGTACTGTCAATATACAATAAATCGAATATATTTCTAATTACCTTGCATCGTCAAATCTGCCGGAACTATATTCATGTACATAGAGAGCGTAAGCTAAGTCTTTGTGTGCCAAAGCAACATGAAGATTAGTTCTGCCGAAAATCGTTCTTCTAATATCTAACGCAGTCTAAAGTATAAGATAAAATATTTTACAATCGCCTTCACAAAAGATTACGAAGATTCATAAAGAGCTCTAAAGATAAATACCTTGTATATAGTTACACTATTGCTGATACTATCAAAGTTTAGTAAGAAAAATCCGTAATCGGTGAGAACGTCACTGTACTTTGGATGATCTGTATCGAATATTTCTCTCGCGAGATATACAGCTTCTTTGATCAATAAATCAGCTTTCTGAAACTCTCGTTTCACAACGCACGACTTTGCCGCTTGTCTCAAAACGTCGACAATAATTCCCGCGGGAAGCCACGGTCTTAATTGTTTTAATGCTTCTATACTCCATCTGGATGATAGGCAGTATTTAATTAAATGTTAGAAATAAAAAATATATATATATATAAAGTATTATTTAAAATTAGTATATTATTTAAGGAAATTAGTATGTTATCATTAAGGATCAATTTATAGTCTGATTCAATTTCAAGTCTCATCATATATCGCAGTATTTTTGAATCTTTTTTTAATTCGTGGTACATTAAATAGCAAGCCGAATATTTTTGAGATATTCCATTATAATTACGTTTCAATGCTCATAAATCTTATCAGATATTTTCAACATGACATTCAAAAATAAAAAGTTCAACAGTTATATTTTGTATTCTATTTTTTTAAAAGTAATTTTATTGCAATGGCATATCGTTAAGAATATTCGATAGATACTTCAAAATAATAACAAAATTGTAAAAAAGAATTATAGGTTATTCTAAATCGCATTAAAAAATAATATAATAAAAACTGTCTGGATCTTAGTTAAAATTATTTCAATAAGTAATATTTTTTAAATCTGTACTCTAATAGAAATGTTAAAAATTTTTAAATAAATGTCATAACAAAAATCTCAATTTTTTAAATACAAGTACTTTAGGTATTCTAGATTATTTAAGTAAAGTTACATTGTGATACAGAAATTGTCTAGTAAATAAATAAAATATTTTTTTTTAAATTTTTGTAATTAATCGGTAAATGCAATAGCATAAGTTATTCTGAGAGAATAAAGTATTTATTTAAAACATTTAGATTTTTTTATTATTTTTTAAATTTTAGTTTACAACAAAAATAATAAATAAAGTAAATATATTAAAAATATATTCAATAAAAACAGAATGTTATGGACACAACTTTTATATATATGTGTGTGTGTGTACTTTGTTCACAGTCTAAATATTAATATATGTGCTATTAATATATAGTTATCGAATATTCTTAAGCGCATGATACACAATTATTTTATTCTTGTTGTTCATCGAAACAAAGATAAAATAATATGCGCATCATGCGTTTTACAAAACGTAATCATTCTTTAAGCTGCTTTTTCATGCTGACACTCTGCGCTCATTTTCAGCGTCAAAACAGATCACATGATCAAAATTGGCGAATACCAAGCAATTTTGATCATGTGACTGGTTTTGACGAAAATGAGCGTAGTGTCAGTATGAAGAAGCAACCTTACTGTCTTTAAAATGTCTGCAGCACATCCATATGTTGAAAAACCCTGCTATATTAGTTTATAAAAAAAGAAGTCTGATTTCTGACGATTGTAACTTATTTCGGAAATAACAAATATTAGGAGTGCACCTATGAGCTTCATCGTATTCACTGCGTATGTAGAATAGTACACTGAACTCTGCAAAAAGGGCAGCGTGATTGCTATTATTGTACTGCTTGCTTTTTAACTTTTCTATCATTTCCATGGCAAGCTGATGAGTCTCCGTCGAAATCGCGGTATGCTGCTTGTGCATGTAACAGCCTGAAATGTATTGACAGGATATTATATTTAGCCTATTAAAAATTTAATTGATTCGACTGAGTGACTAATTGTAACACTCGATACTCTAAAAATCTGCAACTAAATGACTTACATATAGGTAAACAATTGCGCATGAAATTGGTGCAAAATATACGTGTCTTTTGATACTCGCAAATAATGAGCTACTAAAAGTAGATTCAAAAAGATCGCGGAATTGATTTATAACATAAAGTGTGGTTTATAACATAAATTTGTTCATATTGTTTGTACATGCGTATCAAGCATTTGTGAGATCGAATCTTCAATAATATGTTCGAAAATGAATTGAACTGAATTTGAAATTTTTGCGTCAAATTGAATCAATTTTTTATGTGAAAACGAATCGAATCAAATTTTCTTGAATTTATATTAAAATGAAGCAAATAAAAAAAAGCGAATTCAAAATTGAATCAGTGACTCGTCAGATCAGATTCATAAACGAATCAAATCCACTATGATTCGAATCAATTCAATATGAATTCGAACTATTTGCACATCTCTAGTTGTTTGCATTTTTTACACTCGGTATCTTCGCGAAATTTTTTTTCTTTAATGTCCGAATATTTATCTGAATAAATATATTCTGAAATTTATAAGTCAATTTCATAAGTCAACTTGCTCTATATTTTCATTACTTAATATAATAGGTATAATAATAATCGGAGAAAGCGTACCATTACAATTTTTTAATTCTGTTCATTTTTGTTAACATCTGAAGAGGGCTCAATCCGGCAGCCGAAACTTTTAATGGTACGCTTTCTCCGATTATTATTATATATTAGTATACGTCGTGTCTTCATTGTTCACTTTTGATAGAGTTCTAAAAATAAATGTACTCTGGTAGTGCTTCAAACAAAATAAGGAAGAGAGGTATTAGTGAAGCGTTCAACATTTTGTTATAGAACATTACATTTACGTTTACATATTTGAACAAATTCTTATAATTTCTTATTCTAATTATAATATAGGCTGTATTTTATCAAATCTCTGTATCTATACTTTACAGACAATTATGGTATACGTATACTGACGCTAAACAAAATATTGCAAATATTTTATTTCTTTAATTCTTACAATTTATAATGTAATACCTTTTTTTTTGGTATCTTTTTGATAGCTTTAAAGGGGAGCAAGCTTGGACGCTTTGATTAGCTACATGGCTATTATCATGTTGTCATGTTGAAATTCGAGTTTCAGAAATATTTAAATGTTTCCTTTCCTTCTTATCGATCTATTACATAAACATTAATTTTAAATATTAATTGTAGAAAATACTCTGGCGCTGCCAAGTTTCCGAAAAAAGTACCTTAGTAGTGCCAGGATCTGATTACACCACTACTTTAAATGTGAGTTAATAAGATTTAGCATAACGCGCGCGGTCTCGAACTTGTGCAGCTTGTAGGTAAAAACTCAATTAAATCTCACTTGTCAGAATGAAAAAGAATATGCATTCAACTGAGTTATGACAAAGAAGAATTCTCTGTCTTTTAATATAAATGGAAAGCAATTATTATAAATTAAACTTGTTAATTGAATAAGAGAAGTCCTATTTTTCGGTCAAAACAGATTTTAGCGTTTAAATATTTCGATGTGAATTTATACACATGTTTAATTCTGCAAACTTTGCGGCGAAATCTTTTTCATCATTGCGTTCGAAAACTAAAAAAGATTTCTGTGTGTGATTGCAGAATTGAATATAAATTTATGGGTTAATATTAAAAAATCTCTAACGTTATGAGTAGTCGAACTTGTTACTATCTGTACATATTGTTTGCGAAATTTTTATATTTTTATGTTCCTGTATGCAATAAATATTTGTTTTGTAAAATTGCGTTTTTTTTTAAGCAATGAAAATTAAAAATCGAAGTTCTCAAAGATACTTGTCATAGTTGTCTGTAAAGATATTCTAGAGTGATCTGGAGAAATAATATTTTATCTTCTCTTATATATATAAGGTAATCTTACTGTTAGATGAAGAAAATAAATTCGGAAAAATCTCGGGTAATCTCATGGAAAATATGACGTAATTTTAAATACTGTATGATAACCTTGGATAATATGAGGCAGTATTTGATGATCTGGAATAATTTGAGATAGTATTAGGTAATCTTAAGTAATCTGAGATAATTTAAAGTAATCCATATCAAGAGTAATTTTTATACACTATAACCGCTAATGATCAATCTCCCATCTGAGTTATCACAAAGATTATTATATATTACCTTAAACGCGTGCAAGCTGTTTAATATTACTAATATGTTTCTATCTTTTTACAGGAAGAATACTTGGGTTTTGTTGCCAGATTGATTCTTCATGTCAGAGAAATGAGTAATGTTCTATAAATATCTTATATTAAATATAATAATAATAAATTATATTAAAAATGTATGAGATTTATCATAAAAGTAATGACTATTTTTATTATGTTAACATTATAAATTAAACGTAGCAAATTAAATGTAGCTTATAAATTTTTTTAGTGAAACAAATATAATTTACTATGTTAAAGACTACATAATTTGTTAAACACAAACTAAATGATTGTGAAGTTAAAGTGTATTTGTCTCAGGAAGATAAAATCTACAGTACATGATGCTTTTTTCTTATTCATTCGCTGATTAACTGAATTTAGATGCTTGCTGTTGTATTGCTAATTTGACTTCACGCGAATTTTCATGCTGGTTGATCAGTTGGAATTTGTTTGACAAAAGACACTTAACAGAAGTATCTGAATAAATAAACATGAACTATAAACTACTATAGTACATGGTTGGAAAAGTGCAATTGCATTGGTTTTATTGTGAAGAGAATACTTTGATGTGACATGTTCTGGTCGACTATTACATTGAGCCAACACAAAATTATGTAAAAAATAGCATGAAAATCCAGGAGATCAGTCTGTAATGTAGTAATTAAGCTACACAGTTTCTGGCATAGCAGACTACATAATTTTCAGATCACCAGCACAATAACATTTAAGCAATCCAGTAAAAAAAAGCATCATGTAAAAAAAAAGCATCAACACAAATAGGTTTTAATGAATCATTAAATTATCAATGTTATTGCTAATCGTATTCTTTATTTAATATTTTTTCTTATAAAATTTCAAAGTGTAATTTCCTTTTTTAGTATTTCTTTTTTAAAAGTTTGATTATGTTGTGAGATCTCATATATATTATTTCAATGACATTCTATTCTTTTCGCAGATTCTAAAAAGAGTGCAACTGGTAATGCACCAGGTACTGCTGGTACTAATAATCAAGGCATGCCTGATCCAATTGGTGCTCTTCAGACATTAGCACGTCAGGGCACGGGAAATAATCAAATGATGAGCATGGGAGGTCCTAATCATCAGGGTATAATCTCGCAACCACCTACAAATACTGCAACTAATCGTAAGTATTATAATTTACAAAGAAATAACCAGTAGTTCTACTATTATAATAAATATACGTAGATTTTATTTTTAGCAAATGTGCTGCTTTGTTTAATCATTTGTTTTACTTTTCTTTCTATTTAAGGCTCCTAAGTACTCAGCCAAAAATTCTGCATTGATGGTGGTGGTCTGGCGAAACCGGTAGCCATACACATAAGCACGAGCCCATGTACATGTGCTCTCGGCGCACCGAAGGCGAACACATGTACATGAGCTCGTGCTCGGTTGTGTGTGTGTTACAGTGCCTCGCCATGATAAATGGCTGAACTTATAGGTGTAGAAAAGTAACGTTTGGCGATGAAATTTGTGTTGCTAATTCGTTATTATTTGCTTAATTGTGAAAATATGATTTGTCTTGTATTTATCAAAGTCGTAATTATCGATGAAAACTAAAGTTATCTTGGAATTTTATACACATGTAGAAGCGTATTTTTTACTCGTTTCAACAGTTGTCAGACCGTGTGCTTGTGCCCGAGTATAGACTCACTTTACGTGCCTTTTACGACTATTTACTGCCTGTCAAGGAAGGAAAGGACAGTTTTCGTCGATTTTTACAAATGTTTTAAAGCGATCTCGTCATTTAGATTTATCTAAATTGATTTTACTTACAAATAACATAATATAACATAAATTAACGTATTATTTCTCGCTTTTAATGTCACGATTCTAACATGACTGCGGCAACTACTCAGGAGCCTTAAACGAATGTCTAATTTTCTTTTGTGTTTTTTTAATTAAGTTGATCTGCAAATAATTATAACTCATACTTAAAATGATATCTTATAAATACTGAAATGATTACAATTTCAGTTAGTTTATAAGTGGAAGTCAGTATAATACATATTCATCATTGTATGTTTTTCTCGTTTAATCAGCGCAAAATTGCTGAAGCAATGAAAATTATTTGTGCCACTTATGGCAAGGGAATTTTGTCTGAAATTTTATGTCGCAAGAGTTTTAAAGATTTATATAATATAAATATGGTAATTTTAAACTGAAGCATTTTGAGAGCAGTCATAACAAATGAATTTGGATTATTTGATAGCGTTGATGCAGAAAAACTTGACTCAATTAAGAATAAAAATATAACTCACTATTAGAAATAGAATTCAATATAACAAACAGATTAATATATAATTTGACTTATATGAAACGAAGAAAATCCAAAAAGAAGGAAAATGGGTTAATAAACTGCGATGACGCCAATTGAATCATTCGTCTTCTATTGCTGAATTGACAAAAGTCCTTTTTATACAATTACCGAAGATAAAAAACTTATTACAATTCTAAACGTTAAAAGGTATAAATTTCGGCAAATTCTCTTTTAGCACGATTTCCACGCGAAGCAACTTCCCAAGCAGGGGAGTCGCTTTGGGTTAAAGTTTTAGATATATCAAAGTAGTGCATAGTAGGTCCTTTGTTTTGGAAGAGTAGCGCATAAGTAGGTCCTTTATTTTGGAAGTACTAACCATATTCCAATAATATCAATAATATTAAGCGCTTATTGTACTACAGACAACTAAATCGAAATGGAGGTCGAAATAACCAATAGGAAGGTTATCGACATTTCAACACAGATCAAAGGAACGCGCTACTTTAATACATCTAGAGCTTTAGCTTCGGGTGGAAGTTGTGCGCCCTCAAGCAGGGAGGGCGGAGGTGGGGTGGGAGTCACTTCGAGTGAAAGTCAGTACCCTTGCGCTACTGTATGTAACGCTTTCAAAAAAAACATTTTTTTTCGACCTCCTCCGACTTGTCACTATTTGAGTCATAACAAAGATTATTATTAATATTGCAGTCGAAAAATTCGAAAAAGGTCCTATTCTGCATAATTATCCGTAATTAACTTTATTCCAAGTTATTAATTAGTTCAATGTCAAAAAGCACTGCCGCGTTTCTCACAAGTGTTATGTCTGTTTCTTAAAAGGCGATTTGCTTATGTCGTAAATAAATGACTTACATCAAGTTTGCGCTTTTATTTTATCTGATTTTATATTTGTAAAAAAAATTTTTAATACGTAGCTTTATTTTATTAGAACCATATAAAACAAGATGACACACAATACTTCGATATCATTTTGAAGTTAAAGTTAGTAATAACACAGGCTCATAAAAAAAATTACCCTGTGCTGGGGTAAAGACGCAGCGATTCTTACATATGTATTTTGAGTCGCTGAATGCGAATCTGACAAAAATAGGACCATCCATGGCAAATTTTCAATTTAGAGTGAAAAAATGGGTCAAAAATGGGAAAATTGGTCATTTTTTCGCTTTAGATTGAAAATTTATCCTGGATAGTCCTATTTTCATGTCAGATTCGTATTGAGCGACTCAAATACATAAGAATAGCTGTATGTCTACCCCAGTACTTTCTTTTTGTGGGTCTGTGTAATTAACGTAGATAACTGACAAGGGAAGAGCGCAAAGTGATAATCGCAAATTGGAATGAATTATACGAGTATATTGTTGGAAAGGTTTTGCCGAGTAAAGTTCAGCTGTACAATACTTTGCTTAAATGGCGCCTCTAGAGGGTGCTATGTGCAATAGAAGTTATATAGTTTGGTAACTCTTGTGTCCCTATACACTCTTCTGGGTCAACTCCGATGACTTTGACATTGACGTATGTTGTCAAGGTCATGACCTCCAACATGTTTTAGCTATCGGTTGTTACTAATCGGTTGTTAAAAAGTTATTGACAAAATAAATTTTATAAATAGAATTTTTTAATTTTGTGTTTATTTTTATTTTATATTTTATTTTATGTTAAAACTAAAACTTGTCTTAAATTTGTTGACCCATTGCACAATGATGCTTTGAAATCTATCAATCCAATCAGTTTAGCATGGTACAGAGCCCACCGCCGAATAGTTTGGTCATGAACAAGAATTCCCTCCAAACGGGCCTGCATGATCTGTTCCAAACAATATTTAGTTACGGATTGCCATTTTTCTCGATGTGTACCCTGTTGCCCAAAATATTTCTTGCGTTTTTCGTTTTATTCCAGAATTCAAAATAAGAGAGCGAAAGAAAAAAAAAAACCTATTGGTAATGATAACGTTCGAAAAAACATTATATGGAAGTTTATCTATAATGGTCTTTTTATCGTTGGTAATACCAGGATCAAAGTTTCAATATCCAAAATAGCGGATCCAACATTGCGTCCAAAAAACATATTAAAAGTAAAAAATTAAAAATCAATAAAAAATAGGAAAATGAAGTGTAAAATCCTACCGTAGCCTCCCCGTGGTGCACTGTGGGGTCGTGATAATATTTTACCAGCAAATAATGGAGATTAGAGTATCCATAATGAAATATCAGCAATACTTGTTATTTACATATTTTTTGCTGCAGTTGATTGTCTTCCATACATTCCATTTGTGAAACTTATTTTATCAACTTTTTAACAAACAATGGCTAAAACATGAAGGTTATTCTAAATCATGACTTTGACAATATACGTTAATGTCAAGGTCATCGAAGTTGACACGCACGCACGCACGCACGCACGCACGCACGCACGCACGCACGCACGCAGAGTGTAGGAACACAAAAGTTTTACCAAACTGATAACTTCTATTGCATCTATAGCGCCATCTAGAGGCGCTATTCAAGCGAAGTATTGTACAACTGAACTTTACTCAGCAAGACCTTTCCAAAAATGTATAATTTATTCTAATTGGCGATTATCACTTTGCGCACTTCTCTTGTGAGTAAGTGAATGAGTGCATAAGAATTAGGAAGGGAGAGAGAGAGGAGGGGAAGGGTCAGGAGAGAGAGAAAGAGAGAGAGAGAGAGAGAGAGAGAGAGAGAGATTGATTGAGTGATTGATTGATTTTTCTTAGCTACAGTGTGATACAATCTAATATAATGCCTATTTATTAATTATCCAAACCGCCAGACTTAAGCATTCCATACATCTACATTGCATTATTCCTCTCTACTTCTCATACATGGCACTAGCGCTTTCTTAAAGTTTTTAAATCTTTTTTCTTTCTTATTTCATTAGGTAAATTGTTGTACATTTTAAATTACCATTATATAACAACATTCTCTGTTTCTCTCTAGTTTTACATTTTTTGATATGTATTGTATATTTCCCTCTATTATTTGTACTTCTTCCTCCCTTCTTACTCAAAAGAGAGAGACGGGAAGAGAGAGAGAGAGAGAGAGAGAGAGAGAGAGAGAGAGAGAGAAGGTTAGAGAGGAAGGAGAAGGGGGAGAGAGAGGGAATTCAACGTATAGTGTAGACGTGTGTACTGTCGTGTGATTGTTGAGTACCCGCTTCGGTGAGCGCGTCGCTCCTGCTTTTCTTCCGTACTCAACTTGTGATACGCTAACCGTTTCTCTTTATAACTTAAAAAGTAAGATTCTGTGTGAATTTATATACTACGTATGTAGTCCTTTTGAAACGCATGCTGAAATTATTTTTCGGTTTTAAAACGCTAATTCTACTAAACTACCGCAGTAATCACGAGTTAAAATTGACTAGCAATTTAACAATTTTTGATGTTTTTTCGCATCTTCGAAACGATCTCAATTATGCTGAGTGACATTAAAATCTGTAAGTAATTAATTCTTATTGCAAAAAATAATACCTCAACCGGGACCTGGATCTCTTTCCGTGCGAGCGTCTTAAGCCTTTACGAATATTTAGGCGACGTAAATAAACAATATAATACTCGTATATTATAGGACTGTATATGCGGGGGCGTTGCAACTCCCTTACGCTGGAAATTATTCGCGCCTCCCAAACGCGAAGTAAAAACAGATTAAAAAAAAAAAAAGATTCCGGCTTTTAGCGTTACTCCAGTTACTTTTAGCGGCGAGGACATACCAGGATAATGCTTCCGTTTTTGCTTTTTTGTTTTTTTTTTGTTTTTTTCTTTTTTCCTCTTTTTTTGCTTTTTTGTTTTTTTTTTAAATATATTTTTTATATTTTATATTTTTGATATATATATA